CTGAACAACAAACTGTGAAGATAACCTGAACAACAAACTGTGAAGATAACCTGAACAACAAACTGTGAAGATAACCTGAACAACAAACTGTGAAGATAACCTGAACAACAAACTGTGAAGATAACCTGAACAACAAACTGTGAAGATAACCTGAACAACAAACTGTGAAGATAACCTGAACAACGCGGATCTGAACATTTGCCTTGAAAAAAATTAACTGTGGCACTTGAGGGGCGAACGAAATCACCAATTTTTTTTGGGGGGGATAAGACTTTAATGAGATTTTGGCAGTGGATTAAGCAGCATAAAAAATGTATAGACTGTGTTTGTTTTGACTGTTAGCCTTCAAATTAGACAAAAAAAAAATAAATTATGCACAATTTTATGGGACATAAAACTTAAATTTTTTTACTAAATTGTGAAGATGTACAATGTTCTAGTTAACAACAGATGAAAGATAAAGACTAGATTAATAATGATCCAGGGCGTTTCAGCGATAATGTCAGTAGATTCCATAAAAAAAATGTTGAAGTTAGTGATTTTTTTTGCGGAGAAAATCATTAAAAACAAAGCTGTAAGCAATATCTCAAATTCCCCCCCCCCCCGGGTGTTTGTTTTTGTAGACCCATCATTCCTCAGTAAGGTGTGCAAACATCATGACAATCCAATTAATACTTATCAGAGCAAAAGAAAAACAATGTCAATAACTTATTTCTGAGTTATTATTATTATTATTATTATTATTATTATTATGGTTTGGTGCAAAACTCTACGGTTGCGACACGCCAAATCTCAGTATATTACTTCCCCTCGTTCCTCGTTGACAGCCTGCAGGCTACTAAGGTAGACACTGACAGCCTGCAGGCTACTAAGGTAGACACTGACAGCCTGCAGGCTACTAAGGTAGACACTGACAGCCTGCAGGCTACTAAGGTAGACACTGACAGCCTGCAGGCTACTAAGGTAGACACTGACAGCCTGCAGGCTACTAAGGTAGACACTGACAGCCTGCAGGCTACTAAGGTAGACACTGACAGCCTGCAGGCTACTAAGGTAGACACTGACAGCCTGCAGGCTACTAAGGTAGACACTGACAGCCTGCAGGCTACTAAGGTAGACACTGACAGCCTGCAGGCTACTAAGGTAGACACTGACAGCCTGCAGGCTACTAAGGTAGACACTGACAGCCTGCAGGCTACTAAGGTAGACACTGACAGCCTGCAGGCTACTAAGGTAGACACTGACAGCCTGCAGGCTACTAAGGTAGACACTGACAGCCTGCAGGCTACTAAGGTAGACACTGACAGCCTGCAGGCTACTAAGGTAGACACTGACAGCCTGCAGGCTACTAAGGTAGACACTGACAGCCTGCAGGCTACTAAGGTAGACACTGACAGCCTGCAGGCTACTAAGGTAGACACTGACAGCCTGCAGGCTACTAAGGTAGACACTGACAGCCTGCAGGCTACTAAGGTAGACACTTACGGCGCTCTACACTTTAGCCACCACAGAAGCTGCCATGTACAGTATTTAGAGTGGAAACAATCATAAAAATCGTAATTTTTGAGGGAAAAATAAAACCCACTAATTGCCAACATATCCTCTTGCTGCCAGCAAGAACAAAAAAAATTACATTTAATGAAAAAATACTTAGAAATATGGTAGAAACAAGCTGATTACATCAAAATGTTGCCAGAATTATGCATTATTTTTCAGTAAGAAAACATTTTTCTCCATAATTTTTCAATCTTAATTTCTTAATCTATGAAAAAAGGCTCTCCCCTCCCTTGAGATCTGCTCAAGACACATTCCATTAAGAAAAAGAAAGAGAAGATGTAAACTAAAAAGAGAGAGACGTTCCCTATACAGATGAAGGCGATGAATCACAGAGTTGCTGAGAGGGGCCAATATATCTGAAATACAGAGGGAGGCACAGGTCAGATATATAGAAAATATCGAAGTTGAGCTTAAGGAATCTTACAGAAGACAAGAATCTCGGGAAGAATTAAAAATCATAGAGGAAATTGAGAAAAAAAATACTTCTTCTCTTATGCCAAATCTAAGGGCAAAACAACATCCAGTATTGGGCCCCTGCTTAGGCGGGATGGGACATACACAGATGACAGCAAAGAAATGAGTGAGATACTAAAGTCCCAATACGACTCAGTGTTCAGTGAGCCGTTACCCAGGGTAGACAATCTAAATGAATTCTTTATAACCGAGACCCACTATTATTATTATTATTATTATTATTATTATAAAAAAGAAGCGCTAAGCCACAAGGGTTATACAGCGCTAAACCGAGACCCAAAATTTGGTCATCTCAAAAATCTGATATTATCCTAACACCACAAGACTTTGAAAAGGCAATAAATGATATGCCCATGCACTCTGCCCCTATCACGTGCCTTCAGCATTCTATGGAGAGGGAGAATGGACAAAGTGGTCATCCCACACTCGGTAAAAACAACAGACATAGCCCCACTCTACAAAGGCGAGAGTAAAACAATTGCAAAGAACTACAGAATGATAGCACTAATATCCCATATCATAAAAATCTTTGAAAGGGTTCTAGAAAGCAAAACCACCAACCACCTAGATTCCTATCAATTACACAACCCAGGGTAACACGAGTTTGGAGCAGGTCGCTTCTGCCTTTCCCAGCTGCTGGACCACTATGGCAAGGTCCTGAACGCTATAGAGGAGAAATAAGATGGAGATGTAGTATACACAGACTTTGCAAAAACCTTCGACAAGTGCGACCATGGTGTAATTGCGCACAAAATGTATGATAAAGGAATAACAGGAAACGTTGGCAGATGGATCTATAACTTCCTAACAAATAGAATACAAGGAGTAACAGTAAACAGAGTAAAATCTGAGGCAGGTACGGCGAAAATCTCTGTGCTACAAGGCACGGTACTCACTCCCATCCTCTTCCTCATTCACATAACTGATATCAACAGAGATGTAAGCCATAGCTCCGTGTCTTCCTTTGTGGATGACACCCGAATTGTCATGACAGTGTCCTCCATTAAAGACACTGCAAGACTCCAAGCGGACATAAACCAAATCTTCAAATGGGCCACTCAAAACAATATGAAGTTCAATGAAGAGAAATTTCAACTACTCAGATATGGAAAACATGAGGAAATTAAAACTGTATCAGGTATACAACAAATCTTAACGATACAATAGAGCGAGAAAGTAATGTGAAGGACCTGGAAGTGATAATGTCAGAGGATCTCACCTTCAAAGACCACAACAATGTATCTACAGCATCTGCTAGAAAAATGATAGGATGGATAATGAAACAGTTCAAAACTAGGGACACCGAGCCCATGATGATTCTCTTCAAATCGCTTGTTCTCTCTAGGCTGGAATACTGCTGTACACTAATTGTCCCTATCAAGGCAGGCGAAACTGTTGACCTGGAGAGTGTAGAAAGAGCTTTCATGGCACACATAAGTACGATAAAGCACCTAAATTACTGGGAACGGTTGAGAAAGGTACATGATAATATACACTTGGAAAATCCTAGAGGGATTAGTACCTAACGTACACACGAAAGTCACTCCCTATGAAAACAAAAGACTCAGCAGGAGATGCAACATTCCCTCAATGAAAAGCAGGGGAGCCACGAGTACACAAAGAGACAACATAGTGAGTTTCAGGGGCCCAAGATTGTTTAACTGCCTCCCAGCATACATAAGGGGGATTACCAATAGACCCCTGGCTGTCTTCAAGAAGACGCTGCACAGGCACCTAAAGTCACTACCTGACCAGCTTGGCTGTGGTTTGTACGTCAGTTTGCGTGCGGCCAGCAGTAACAGCCTGGTTGATCGGACCCTGATCCACCATGAGGCCTGGTCTCAGACCTAGCTGCGGGGGCGTTTACTCCCGAAACCCTCAGGTAAACTCCAAGATAGGCTACGAGTTCCAGCAAATTTAGATTAAATGGAAAATCTCCCTGCTAATTAAGCTGAAAAACTCGTTGCTGAGTTTTTAGTCAGGTTCTCAGGACTTTTAAACAACACAATCACTGTGAGGTGACCCAATGTCGAGGAGTTGAAGACCGAGAGGAGACTTGCACGAGTCTCAGGTCTCAACCTGTGATAGTCTCTACTTATTTGTCTCTCAGAAATGTCGCTTTTGACTCAGGACTAATTCTCTAAAGTCTCATGATTATCTTCAGTAGATGTTTACCTCTCTGTTGTAACCCTTAAATAGAGAAGTATTTATCTTAGTGCTTTCTTTGTCTTGGTTGGTCTCATTATATATCCTGTAGTGTCTTCCTTATCGCTTCATTCACTCACCCTTGTACCCTTGTGCCTTTATTATCACTTCTTATCGTCTATCCGTTTCATGTCTTCTTTGTTTCACAATATTTTCTTAACATTGCCTTCTTATCCTAGCTTCCAATCTTTTACTCATCAATTTTATCATACGAGCCGTGTGTGTCTTTCTCCTTCTGTTACACCACGCATGTCACTTCCATAAAGTTAGCATTTTTGTCTGGCAAACTTAAAGTTTGTCTTTGCGTTTCACACTATCACTTATGCCTGTCATTCTAATTTATCCATCAATATTTCTGCCTATTCTTATCGAGCTCTAACCTCTGTCAGTCGAACACTGTTTCGGAATATCCTGGAAGGGTTGAGGTAACTTAAGTTCTCTCAAAAAAGTTTGTTTCGCTGGCAAATCCTTTGGGATGGTCAGCCTCTTCATTGACGTTTCCTACATCATTGTCGACTGTGTGTGCGAAATTGCTTATTTAAGACTACGTGCTTGTAGTTACAGAAACAGCAATACAGAGTAATATTTGTCTCACCTTTTAGATCACCTTCGAGCAATCTACCGCTATTTATGTATGTACATATATTTCAACGTTATTAGTATGATGTAATTTAAGCTAACTCACTACTGAAGTAGCTGCTTCTCTAAATCTCGATTTTTCTAGATCCAAACAAGTCAATCTAACTTCGTTTTCTCTCTCTCAGCCGATGGTCGACCAGTGGCCTTCGAGGTGGCACCCGTTGACCCTACCGAGTCTCTCATCCGGCGACACCCGCCCAGGAAATTCCAGAAGTTGGAGGAGCAGCAGCAGCAGCAGCAGCAGGGCACGTTCCTCACTCAGGAGAAGCTGGAAGAGAAGCAGGCAGAGGCAGAGAGGCGTCGGCAGGAGGTAGGTGTTGTGGTGGAAGGTCATGGTGGTGTGGAAGGGATGCTAAGAGATGTAAATGTCTTTGTTAAGTTAACTGTGTTTGCCGAAGTCGAGCTCCAGCTTCTGAGCCACGACTCTTAGCAGCTGTTTTTCCTTGCCCGGGTCCCATCTCATTGGAACGTTCTCTCTTTATCCAATTTGTTTGGTACATCTTAATATCTTGGAAAATAATTATGAGCTAGCTAACCTAACTTGCAGTGAAGGTGACCAAGCATCGAGAGGACGATGGCATTGTATTGATCCGAGGAAGATATGGGTAAATACAATTCCTTGGAAATAATCATTCCTATTGTTCACCTCGTCTCTCATAGAACCATCCACTGACAGGTTCATTCCCAGATATTTAAACGCATTCACTTCCTCCATACTCCCTCCCTCCAATCTGATATTCAGTATTTTTTATACTCTCTTCACCTTGCTCTTTCCAATATTTACTTTCAATTTCCTTCTTTTTTTTTTTTTTAGTTTACACTGATGAGTTTTACAGGCTAAAAGCCGTTATCCTTCTCCAGTTCATTTTAAAGCCCAGTATCAGGATGCGACCCACAACAGTCGACTAACACCAAGGTACCTGCTTACTGCTTGGTGAACAGGAGCAAGTGTAAAGAAACATGCAAAACCCTTCCATCCGTGTCCGAGATCGAACCACGGACCTTCAGTATGTGAGTAAGTGCACTACCAACCGAGCCACGAGAAATATCCTCTCAAATTCTTTTACCACTCTTTGCAATTTCTTTTCAGAATTTCCCAAAACAACCGTGTCATCGACAAAAAGCAACTATGAAAACTCCAACTCTGAATTACTGTAGAATCATATCCTTTAATCCCACACCTCTCCCCAACACTCAAGCATTCATTTCTTTTACATGCCTATCTAAGGCCTACTTTTGCTCTCCTATATACCCTAACATGAGCCTAAGAGTGGGAGATTATTTTCCAGCAAACGTAGGCTTGAAACAGGAGTGTGTTGTTACCATGGTTGTTTAACATATTCAGAGATGGGGTTATATACCCTATACATATTCATAGCATGCATATATTAAAGTACATGTGTGTGTTTCAGCTCTTGAGCCAGCGTGTTCAGAGTGCCAAGCATCGCAGTGCTCGCAGTGCCGGCCGCATGCGCTCTCGACCTAGTGACGGTGACGAGGTGGAGCAGGTGCGTATATCACACCTCTGTATACACCACCTGACTGTGTTGTTTTATTGCACTCATTCTCAAGATAGGTTTACTTGTCATTTATTTTGTGTGTGTGTGTGTGTGTGTGTTTATAGACAATGGTTTATTCCTGATATTCTTTCGACTTGTGTACTGTGATGGTTAGGTGGTTAATGGGTTTACAAGAGGGTCCTTAAGACTGAACGTAACCTGTTCATCACCAGTCAAGAATACTTTAACCCCTAAAATGGGAATTAAAGTAAACTTTCAGCATAATATACACTGAGAGACATATGTCTCACAGTGTATAGATTCTTGTTTTCACTATTTATATTTTTATTAACACATCGGCCGTCTCCCACCAAGGCAGGGTGGCCCGAAAAAGAAAAACATTCATCATCATTCACTCCATCAGCGTCTTGCCAGAGGCATGCTTACACTACAGTTATAAAACTGCAACATTAACACCCCTCCTTCACAGTGTAGACACTGTACTTCCCATCTCCAGGACTCAAGTCCGGCCTGCCGGTTTCCCTGAATCCCTTCATAAATGTTACCTTGCTCAAACTCCAACAGCACGTCAAGTCCTAAAAAAATCTTGTCTCCATTCGCTCGTATGTAACACGCTCACCCATGCTTGTTGGAAGTCAAATCTCCTCTCACATAAAACCTCCTTTACCCCCTCCCTTCAACCTTTCCTAGGCCGACCCCTACCCAGCCTACCCTCCACTACAGATTTATACACTCTCGAAGTCATTCTATTTTGTTCACTCCTCTCTACATGTCTGAACCACCTCAACAACCCCTCCTCAGTCCTCTGGATAATAGTTTGGTAATCCTGCACCTCCTCCTCCTCCTCCTAATTTCTAAACTATGAATTCTCTGCATTATATTCACACCACACATTGCTCTCAGACACAACTTATCCACTGCCTCCAGCCTTCTCTTTGCTGCAACATTCACCACCCATGTTTCACGCCCATAAAAGAGCTTTGGTATAACGATATTCTCATAACTTTCCCTCTTTGCTTCCATGGACAAAAGTTCTTTGTCCCCACAGACTCCTCAGTGCGCCACTCACCTTTCTTCCCTCATCAATTCTATGATTCACCTCATCTTTAACAGACCCACCTGCTGACACGTCCACTCCTAAATATATGAATACATTCACCTCCTCCATACTCTCTCCCTCCAATCTGATATCCAATCTTTCGTCACCTAATTTTTTTGTTATCCTCATAACCTTACTCTTTCATATATTCACTTTTAATTTCCTTCCTTTAAATACCATACCAAACTCATCAACCAACTATAACTAACAAAAAAGGCACAATACTGTGACTGGAGCAATACACAAATAACCCGCAGATATCCAAGAACTAGCTACAAGCAGTATTAAAACAGGGAAGTGTTTTTGGGTATGCCCAAATGAGGAAAATCTGTGGACTAAAATCACAAGGGTATTAAAAGAGGATAACATCAAAGCTGCTTTCACAGACAACCTGGAAGCTTTCTACAACAGATGGGAACATAAAAAGTCTGGGCTGAATGGTACTGCCCTTGATACTGGCCATGTAGTCAGAAACTGTAAGGCTGGAGGTGACGTCCTGGTAGTCAGTAAATGTGGGGCTGATAGTGCTGTCCTGGGAGACAGTAATGGTGAAGCTGGAGGTGCTGTCCTGGGAGACAGTAATGGTGAAGCTGGAGGTGCTGTCCTGGGAGACAGTAATGGTGAAGCTGGAGGTGCTGTCCTGGGAGACAGTAATGGTGAAGCTGGAGATTTTGTCCATGTAGTCGGGAATTATACGCAGGAAGGAATACATATAAATGACCTCATAGGGGACAGGAGCCGTAGTGGGGAAACAAGTGTAGTCAAAGATAAGATAAAACCAATATTGCAAACTAGAAATACCACAGGAAATAGCAAACAAGAGGATTCCACTAGCTATAGTGAGGATATATTACCAAAAACAACTGGTGGGAGCTCCATTGTTGGTGCTAGAGAGGATAGGAATAAGACAGGGAAACATGCACCAACAGGGAATACAGTCACAGAAACCCAAGGCAAATGGAAACCAAGCCTGTGCACATACTATGCACTTGGTATCTGCAGACATGGGAAATCTGGAAAAACAGACGGGAAGTGCAACTTTGACCACCCTAGAAAATGCCATGCCCATATGACAACAGGAAAATGCAAACTCCCTTCCTTTAAGCTTTTTCACCCTGAAATGTGTACCTCTTCAGTACAGGAAAGACTGTGCTATAACTTAAATTGCCAGGCATACCATCTAAAGGGGACAAAAAGATACAAAACATCCAGGCCATGGGAAAACCTGGGTAGCCACAGCCACTCAAGAGGGAGAGGTTTTTTAGTGCCAGGAAGGAAAAAAAAACTGGCAAGAAATGGCAGAAATCGTACACCAAATCCAGTCATTCCTGGAGTGGAACCACAGTCGATTGTCTCCACTCCAAACCAACAGATACAGATACTAATGCCGGAAAAAAAATCCCCCCCCCCCAGTACCAACAATACCACCAGTCCGATGACATTCTTCTTTGCAAATATACAGGGTCTAAAGCCAGCAACAAACAACAAAATACCTTTCATCCGTGGACTGCTTGCAGAGGCAAAGGCAATGTTCGCGGCTTTCACTGAGACCCACATAAAGGATCACTTGGACAACGAAATATGGATCCCAGGTTACAACCTATACAGATGTGACAAGAGTGAACAGGCAAAAGGGGGAGGGGGTTGGCCCTGTACATTGCAGAGTCACTTGTTTGCACAGAACTGCTAAATGCCTCAAATGATGTAGTGGAAGTTTTAGCAGTAAAGGTCGAGAACCAAAACCTAGTCATTGTGGTAGTCTACAAGCCTCCGGATGCAACATCCCAGCAATTCCAGGAACAGCTTTTAAAAATTGACCACTGTCGGAAAATCTTCCAGCTCCTGCACCCAACATCTTGCTCCTGTGGGATTTCAACTTAAGGCACCTAAAATGGAGGAATATAGCAAATAATATTGTTGCAGTAATAACACCAGGAGGCAGCTCTGATGAAAACTCACACTCACACGAGCTTTTAAATCTCTGCACAAAATTCAATTTAAACCAGCAAATAATAGAGCCTACTAGACTGGAGAATACACTAGACCTTATCTTCACTAACAATGATGATCTGATAAGAAATGTCACCATATCAAAAACAATATACTCAGATCACAACATAATTGAGGTTCAGACATGTATGCGTGAGCCCCAGACCGACATAATGAGACTAGTCACGAGGGAGCATTCACCAAATTCAACTTCAATAACAAAAACATAAAGTGGGACCAAGTAAACCAAGTCCTAACCGATATAAGCTGGAAGATATACTAAGCAACACAGACCCCAACGTATGCCTAAACAGATTAACTTGGTGGCACTCGATGTATGCACAAGGCTTATTCCTCTAAAAAAAGGAGGAGTAGATGTAAAATAGAAAGAGACAGGCTCTCCCTTTACAGGCGACGGAAAAGAATAACAGAGCGGCTAAAAGAGGTCAATATATCTGAAATGCGTAGGGAGACACTGGTCAGAGAAATAGCAAGCATCGAACTCAAGCTAAAGGAATCTTATAGGAGTCAAGAATCGCGGGAAGAACTAAAAGCCATAAATGAAATCGAAAGAAACCCAAAGTATTTCTTCTCCTATGCCAAATCAAAGTCGAGAACAACATCCAGTAATGGGCCCCTACTTAAACAAGATGGGTCCTACGCAGATGACAGCAAGGAAATGAGTGAGCTACTCAAGTCCCAATATGACTCAGTTTTTAGCAAGCCGCTAACCAGACTGAGAGTCGAAGATCAAAACGAATTTTTTATGAGAGAGCCACAAAATTTGGTAAACACAAGCCTATCCGATGTTATCCTGACGCCAAATGACTTCGAACAGGCGATAAATGACATGCCCATGCACTCTTCCCCAGGGCCAGACTCATGGAACTCCGTGTTCATCAAGAACTGCAAGAAGCCCCTATCACGAGCCTTTTCCATCCTATGGAGAGGGAGCATGGACACGGGGGTCGTACCACAGTTACTAAAAACAACAGACATAGCCCCACTTCACAAAGGGGGCAGTAAAGCAACAGCAAAGAACTACAGACCGATAGCACTAACATCCCATATCATAAAAATCTTTGAAAGGGTCCTAAGAAGCAAGATCACCACCCATCTAGAAACCCATCAGTTACACAACCCAGGGCAACATGGGTTTAGAACAGGTCGCTCCTGTCTGTCTCAACTATTGGATCACTACGACAAGGTCCTAAATGCAATAGAAGATAAAAAGAATGCAGATGTAATATATACAGACTTTGCAAAAGCCTTCGACAAGTGTGACCATGGCGTAATAGCGCACAAAATGCGTGCTAAAGGGATAACAGGAAAAGTCGGTCGATGGATCTATAATTTCCTCACTAACAGAACACAGAGAGTAGTCGTCAACAGAGTCAAGTCCGAGGCAGCTACGGTGAAAAGCTCAGTTCCACAAGGCACAGTACTCGCTCCCATCTTGTTCCTCATCCTCATATCCGACATAGACAAGGATGTCAGCCACAGCACCGTGTCTTCCTTTGCAGATGACACCCGAATCTGCATGACAGTGTCTTCCATTGCAGACACTGCAAGGCTCCAGGTGGACATCAACCGAATCTTTCAGTGGGCTGCAGAAAACAATATGAAGTTCAACGATGAGAAATTTCAATTACTCAGATATGGTAAACACGAGGAAATTAAATCTTCATCAGCGTACAAAACAAATTCTGGCCACAAAATAGAGCGAAACACCAACGTCAAAGACCTGGGAGTGATCATGTCGGAGGATCTCACCTTCAAGGACCATAACATTGTATCAATCGCATCTGCTAGAAAAATGACAGGATGGATAATGAGAACCTTCAAAACTAGGGAGGCCAAGCCCATGATGACACTCTTCAGGTCACTTGTTCTATCTAGG